CTCTTCCGATCTCACGGGTTCGAATCCCGTTGAAGCCCTGATTTTTTTCAGGCTTCTTCTTTCCAATTGCTTAAATTGGAAAATTTACTGCGATGATCATTCTTCACTTTCATCTACAACCGCAGTTCATATATGAATTACTTCATATAAACTTCACATTATTTAAACTTAAGCCCTTATAGTAGCTGTGAGCAGCTACTTTTCTCATTACAAATTCATTATACCATAAAATTTTGATAAACCCCAACAAATGCAAGCCGCAGTAACCAGGTTTCCTTAGTAGTGACCTTATTTACCAAACTATGGCTCAAACTATAAGCTTAATGCCTCGCACATGTACGACAGTTCGACTCAGAAGGAAACTGTAATATTTTTTTTTACTGTACGCTCTTCCTGTTTGTCACCGTCTGCAACTGATTCCCTAGCGTTGGGATTGTGGTCTCCTGGGGACGTTTCTCCTTTTAAGGCCTGTTTTGAAAGAATAACTTTTTTCATATTTCACGCTTGCTTTTCTTCCTTACCTCAGTTCAATTTGTCCTCCATCTTGGATTTGGTTCGTCGACTTGGAGGCTGGAACGGGCTTTCCGAACGAGTGAAGACTGGGTACCACGTGTTCAGCTCACTTAAAGGGGAAGCTGAAGTGCATCCCCAGTCTACCGACAGTTTCTGAAGAACGAATAATGACAATTGAGAACGGTACAATTGGAACGTTTCATCCGGTGGAATACCGTAAATACTCGAATTAGTGCCTCCTTCGAATAGGCGCCCCTCCTATCGGCCAAAATGTAAAATAAGTGCCCCCCTCCTCGAATAAGCGCCCCTCTCCCCTCTCCCCTCTCCCCATTTTGTGGACGAGTAATGAGACAACAAAGGATGTATAGTTTTCGTCGTATAGTATTAAATTTGTGCATTGTTTCGGTTTGTGAACACGTTAAGTTTGGAAAAAACAATTACAAGTACTAACGGCGCCATTTCAAGTTTAGGATCAGCCTTTTATGTCGATAAACAGCTTAAGTTTTTTACGCGCAGATGATGTATTGAAAAATTGATCATGTCAGGCCACGATTTGGGAAAAATTAAATAAGCGCCCCCCCTCGATTAAGCACCCTCTCGAATAAGCGCCCCCCGTCTTCACCTAAATTCGAAATAAGCGCCCCGGGTAGCATGCCATTTTCGTCCCCAAAGTCATCTGTCTCTCTTGGCCGGCGAGGCCTTGACATGAAAAAAAAAAAAGCTGATTCGGGAGACTCGTGATTTGATTGGCTGGATCTTGCAAAATATCCACTGGTTGGTCCCCGAACCCTGGCCTGCGAACGCAGACGCATTTCACTTAGGCAGCAAGGCCCGTCAGACGAAACAAATGAATGCCATCCCCGGCTAGAATTTACTTCACTTAGTAAAACTCGGTTAAGTTCTGTTGGTGCTCTAATCGAACTGATTTATGTGACTAAACTTCGAATGAACAAAATCAGGTGATGGGCTCCTGACAAAATGAGACGGGATGACGGTGTGTACCATTTCACGGCATTTGGAAAAACTTCTAGAAGAAATGACTGTTCCGTTTCACTATCCAACGAAACGACTCCGTAGTTCATCATGGAACATGGCAATAACGTGAAAAAGGAAAATAGTTCCCTGATTTTCAAATCATTCTGGTAAAAACGAGAAAATTAAGAACGCAGCTGTATTCTGAATCTGCTTGGCAGTGCAAATTAAATATTAACGATAAATTGGCCTGCTTTCAGCCAATCACTAAGAAGTCGTCTCTTTCATAAAAATATATGTTATAATTAGCAAGCTGTCAGTGTTTTTGAGTGCTTGCCTTCTATTGTTTACATTAAAATTTATGTGTTAAAGTGTTTAAGAAGTGTTGGTAATTAATGTTACCTAATATTAGTTCTAGATCGTCAACTAGTGTTGACCGTTCAAGAACTGAGACGCAACATGGGTCTTGATGCGCTCCACTTTGTCAGTTTCCTTGCTGTGCTCATATCAGTGAGCTCTGAGGAAACTTCAAAAGGTATATTACTTCTGCCATGTATATGACATAATTCTGCTTGGCACCCGCGTTCAGAACTAACATTGATTCTTAATTCTTAACGCAGGGCAGCCAGCTTTCCGTGACAATGGCATTTTGTATGCCAACTTCAAGACTCACAGCAACTCCTACTTAAATATAACAAGTGTTGGTACAGAACTTGTTAAAGACATCACAGAGTGTGGGTTTGCATGTGTTGCTAAAGATTCCTGTTTCTCTTTTAACCTGGCGCGGAATAAAGCATTTCCGCGGCTGTGTGAGCTGCTGCCTTCAAACGTGTACAGCAAGGCGGACAAGGTCGTTTCAAGTCAATCGTATGATCATTTCAGCATTCCGGTAAGTATTTATACTTTTAAGGGGCTAACAAGCCATCCCACTATATATTAAAGGGGTCGTCAAGATTGTCATGGGTCGGTTGAGGCAGTTTCTGAACGCCCAGAAGTTTACAACTTTACAGTGCTTCTAGTATTCTAAAAGGATGCGCTTTCAAGAGCTCTCTTTCAAAGGCTGGAACCGTGGGCTGACGAAGCTCTCAGAACTGCAAGGAACTTTCGCGAAATCCAGCGAATAAAACAGTGGTTTTCGAGTAAGTTTTCGTTCCCATAGCTCACCAGCCACTGGTTCAGTTTCTTTCATCCAAAGTTAGCAATGTTAATAAGACGTTGTCGAGCTTTCATGAACCGAATTTTTAACTCGGTAGAGGAACATTTTAAAACGCTTTACTCTACAGCTGTTCCTTGTTGGGAAATTGCTGCAGAGAAATTTACATAGATAAAGCCTTCTATTTCTGTATGCGCACATTTAAAGCTCCTGGAAAAATAACCAGTACAATTTTCTACAGATTTTTCATATTTTTTTTCTTTCGAGCTTTTCAAATCCTTTCTAAAGCAACGTTTTCCTCACATTTCCCACTTAAGTTTCCAGTGCCTCAGAGGCAAAACATCTGCTGTCACTGTGTTCGTTTTTCAAATGAATAACTTCTGCAAGCTTACCCCAGTTCATGAGCCGAACTTAGTTCGAATTTGGACCAACCCTAATTATCAAAGTACGCCTCTTGATTCAGACGTCGAACTTAATCGCCGAACTTTATTTAGTTGGAACCAAATCACCATTAAATGGTAGCGATTTTCAGGCAACGCGTAAAATACGTTATAATAATTTATGCTTTAGGTTCGGGACGTCTGAATCAAAGTCATTCTAAAGCCGAAACTTCCTGCCGAGCTAGGCGGGAAGAACGGCTGAGCCGTTCGAAATTCATATAGCCGTTGTTAGCTGATTCAGACGCCGAACTTTTCATGTACTTAGTTCAATATATTAGGTTCGGCTCATGAATAGTTCGGTGTCTGAACTGGACCTAAGACCACCCTTTCAGTTAATGATAATAAAGAAACTTGAACATACAGGTAATACTA